GGTCTCCCATGCGGTGCAGGGCCCAAGCACTTGGGCCATCCTCCACTGCACTCCCAGGCCATAGCAGAGAGCTGGACTGGAAGAGGAGCAACCGGGAGAGAATTCGGTGCCCCAACCGGACTAGAACCCGGGGTGCCGATGCCACAGGCGGAGGATTAGCCAAGTGAGCCGCGGCGCTGGCCTGGAGAATTAATTTTCAAGCCTGGCTCAATGCAAAGTTGGTTGTTTCCTCAGACCTTTGCCTTCCTGATTCCTTTTGTTGACCTTCAACCATGTGGTTGAAGAAAAATCTAGGTAGTTTTAGTCTGCCTCGGTAATCATCACAGTATTATAAAGGAAATACTGTTTTCCCCCTACAATTAAACACAAACAGCAAATGCCATTAACACCTAGGTTAGTCTTCTGTCATTCTTGAGATAAGCCAGAACAAATCTAAGTTTGGATCAGCACTCCTGATGTTGGGCCATGAACAATTCACAGAGGACGCTGCTACTTGTTGCTCACAGACTTTACTATTAAGAGTTTTAATCTTGGGGCGGGGCGGGGGGGGGGGAGGTCAGTGCTGTGGCGTAGTAGGTGAAGCCTCTGCTTGCAGTGCCGGCATCATGTATGAGTGCCAGTTTGAGTCCGGCTGCTCCACTTCTGACCCAGCTCTCTACTATGGCCTGGGACAGCAGTAGAAGACGGCCCATGTGCTTGGGCCCCTGCATCCACATGGGAGACCTGGAAAAAGCTCCTGGCTTCAGAGAGGCCCGGCTCTGGCCATTGAGGCCACTTGGGGGAGTGAATTAGCAAACAGAAAACCTTTCTCTCCGTTTTTCCCTCTCTGTCTGGAACTCTACCTCTCAAATAAATAAATGTCTTTAAAAAAAAGATTTTTAAATCTTGGGTGTATGAACCCTTGAAATTTATATATGGAATTATATAGCTGTGTTATGCTTTTTGCTCTATCAGTTGTTCATAGAAGTCTGGAGCTCCCTGACAGGCAAGGTTCCTGTTCCATATTGTCCATAGGTCAGAACAAGAATTCAGTGACATATAAAGCATAGAGTTATTTGCATGGCCTAGAATAGGGAACTGGAAATAGTTACCCCATTTAGTACTTAAAATATGGAACTCTACACCCTTTTCTCAGGTATACACACTCTCATTCACTCAATCCACATTCAGTCCTTCTATGGCCCATAAGGTTCCTTTTGTATTCAGTTTTGGCAAAGCTGGATTCAACTGGGGCCAGTGCTGTGGCATAGCAGGTAAGGCCACCATCTGTGGTGCTGGCATCCCACAGGAGCACCGATTCGGTCCCAGATGCTCCACTTCCGATCCAGCTCTCTGCTGTGGCCTGGGAAAGCACTGGAAGATGGTCCAAGTCTTTGGGCCCCTGCACCTGCGTGGGAGACCTGGAAGAAGCTCCTGGCTCCTCGCTTCAGATCAGCCCAGCTCTGGCTGTTGCAGCCATTTGGAGTGAACCAGTGGATCAAAGACCTTTCTGTCTCTCCCTCTTTCTGTAACTCTGCCTATAAAAAATAAAAATAAAATAAAATAAATAAAATAAAATAAAAATCCCAATAAAGTTGAAGGTTGAGGAGGACATCATGCAGTTAAATATGTTCATCCATGCACTGGTCTCTAAAACATTTAGATACTACTACTGTAGTATCTAGATGTGGCTTCTCAATTTAAAGGAGTCCTTTTAATAAAATTTCTTGTAAATTTAGTACCTCTATGCAGTTAGGTTCCTGTAAACAATTTAAGTTTTCCAGTGTTCTGATTATTAAATTGATCAGTAAAAAATTGCTACTGAGCATATCTGTTCATAACCATATTACTAAACTAGTTCTAGCTCTGATGTAAGTATTTCACAAATTTCCAAGTACAATCTAGACAGGAAATGATGTGTTTTATATTTAAGCTTTTATCTGATGTGAAAATGGGTTTTTCTTATGACATAGTCTATCTAAGCTGATCATGAATGATGGATGTTCAAATCTTAAATTTTTGACTTCTCCCAAGCAAGACAGCTGATGGAAAAACTACATTCCCGATTGCTCTCATTTTCAACAAGAATGTGAAATCTAAAAGTGGGTTACTTTTCATATATTTAATTCCTAAGGCTGGCTGAAATCTGCCATTTCACCTTGAAATTTATGAATATACTAACTGTAAAAATATAAATTCCCAGAAACTATTTCATAGTAGAACAGCAACATTTTCTGTGTAGGTGAAAGCTTTTATATTACATTTTTATTTTGCAAGAAAATAAATTATACAACTTAAAAAATAAAATCCAAAAATTAAGCAGTTCATCAAAATATTTCAGCCTACTGCATACAGAAACTGCTACCATTTAAAATTGTACAGCATCATCATCTCAGTATGTAGTGGCACACATTCAAAATCGTATAGACCATATAAGGATAGATTACAACCTAGGAATTCAAACTTGTTCAACACTCCAGACAACATAATGTAGATGACAGGAAAGCTCTCATGTAATGTTTATTTTCACAAACATGACCTTGGAAGAATTTCTAAGACAGCATCCCAGTCATTTACATGAAAATAGAAAAACCAGCTTGAGTTTAAGATAGGAAAGCTTTCTGTAAAACTAGCAAATCTTTCACCCAAATTGAATTTTTAAAATTTGCCCCTTCAGCAGGGCTAATGATAGCCTACTGCAAAGAATGCAAAATACTTTTTTTTACTATTCAGGTCACAGTATGTATTAAATTTAATAAAATGAAAATATAAGAAAGCTAACATTTCATTTTTGGATTTTTTAACATTTATGCAAAAAGTAAGAGCAAGAGACTTAAATAAACAGGTTGACAGAATTCAGTGACCCCCTCCAAAAAAATGTAAAAATTGGAAGACTTCAGAATTTATTTCAAGATCCTCATTAAACCATTGGAACAGTAATGGTTCTAATATTTATCTCACTGTAAGCATCAAAATTGACCTGTATTTTACTTTGTAAATTCTGTTTCATGTCTACTCACTCTGGCAACGAGATGACAACAAAAGTTAACATCATCCAGAAGGCTCCATCTTAAATTAGAAGGTAAGTGTTCACAGTTTAAATCAACCTCTGAAGCATTATATTGCCAAACTACTCATGGACAAAAAGCAAAACAAAAAAAACACTGGGGAGGGGCGGTTGCTGGATTTTTTTTCCCCCTTAACTACGTCAGGTTTCACCTCTGCTCAGATAGCACTAATTTCTCAAAACATATTACAGAAAAGACCTGATAAAGGATACTGTGCCTCTACACCTGTAGCAAACTTCTGGTAACATTTTAATTATTTTTTTTTAAATGAATAAATCTATTGTCAAAACATCTTTAAAGAAAATTCAACAATGGTATAGGCACCTTGTCAACTAAATGGTTTTCATAAATACCATAAAGTAAACTTTAGTATACACAACAAAAGTATGATGAAAACTAAGTCTACAGTATTTGCTGCTGTTCGATCCCCCAAGTATAATCAAGACATAATTAGCTATTAAAAAATTTACAAAATTGAATAGAAAACTTTGCCATGGATTTACTGTTACCCACTTTCACATTAAATTTGCCTTTATAAATCAAAACATTATGGCACTCATTCTTCAATTATATGACCAAAAAGACTACAAATTCCAAAAAAGTTCAGAGAACAATTATGGTTTAAAACAAGTCTTACACTTTTAAAAAATGGCCTGCAATTTTCCTCCCGTTGTTTTCTCTTTTGGCATCCTTGTATTGGGATAAGCAAATATGCCAATACCAAACTATTTGTTAAACCTAACAACCACAATTATCACAAAATTATTTCTTCTAATTTTCAAACTTATCCATGTGGTTAGCAGACATCTAATTCACGAAAACAGTGAGCACTAATTTTAGTTTAATTCTCCACAAAATCCTTGGTCTAATAAGTGACATATACTACCTTAGAGAGTGAAGTGTAAAACAAATTTCCAATTTTCTATGTGCTTCAGAACTGGCATTCGTATATCATCAGTAAAACTTTACATGTTTTAGATTTGCTTTCCTTTCTTTCAGCAGGCAGCTCACCAAAGCCTCTTGGGAATGGGGACAGATTCCATGAAATGCTCTGAAAAAGCCCTCTGCTATAATGTAACACTGTATGCCTTCAGCTCTAGCACTCCACTTCCTACTGCCTTGAAAACCATACTTTTAATCTATTACTTAACATCAAATAAGATACAAAATAATTTGTAAGAAAATTTGAAATGTGCACCACAATGAGTAAAAATCCATGTTGATCCATTTTTCCCAATGGGGAATAAATTTTTCTCTTTAAGTTGTTTAAGACCTCAAGTCATAAAATTTCTACTACTCTGGGTATTCAGTTGCTAGCAACTAGTAAGTTGCTACTTTGGATCGACTGAAAGGAACAAGGTAAGTGTTGCCTTCTGAACATTTAAAAAATGTTTATTTTAAAATATATAAGTATATATGTACATATATTTGGCAAGTTTACTGCTCATATTATGATTGCAACAATTCTGCTTATGCTTTTCAGGTCTTATGTTGTGGTTTTTTCTCTTCCTCCTAGATGATAGACACTGAATTCTTTTAAAAAGAGCATGTCTGTCTCTTCAGAAACCTGAGGTTATAAATCCCTAACCATCAGACTTTAAAATACCAAGATAGCTCTAAGCTACAACTTAAGAGATCAGTTATGTAACTGTATTATACCAGAGAAAGAGATGTGTGTGATGTTTTTAATGAAATTGAATATGGCATAATAAATATTAAGTATATAAAACATTTACCAACAAACAACCAAAACAGCAGTCTCCTGCTGAAAGAAAACTAACATTTCTAAGTTGGAAGTATTTAATACCATTTTTAGGTCACTTTTAAAATCCAGTTATTATACTGAGCAGTGTTTGAACAATTCAACACTATTAAATACTTATCTTCTCATCTACATCTGCCCTCTCCCAACGCTGTGCTGACAGCTCACTCTTTCATCAAAGAAACCAAGAGTGCTATTTCTAGTTTTAATGGAATTTTTTTAAAAACAAAAGATAACAGCATTTTCAGTGCATGAGTATCTGAAGATCTTTCCTTGTGCAAGTACATTTTTTTAAGAGAGGAAAAAAGAGAAAAAAGCAACAAGAACCCCGCTGTCATCCTTTTCAACTGTATTTCTCCAGGTGGGTATAAATCAAATTTACCTTTTAAAGTTCATAATGGGCTCTTCATGAATGCAAGTTTCTCCACAAAACAGCATGCTGTTAAAGTGTGTGCAACATGAAGGGGATGCCATCATGCTAACTAAAGTGATTGGCAAAATATAGTTGTTTTATAAGGTAAGGCAGAGATTTTAATATTTATGTAATCAAAGTCCAAATAAACCTTTCTCCAGCACAAACTGTTACAACTTTCTGCCCAAGCACTCCAAAATCTGGGTTCTTAACATTGTCCATGATTTTCAAAATTATGCCATATATATGAAAGTGTTGATATCAGATTCATCTCTTCTGATGTATTTGTGCTCTATTAGCCATTCTATTTGCTCTTTTATCATTTTCTTTTGTGGCAAGAACATGTTTTTCAAAATTTCAACTAATTCAGTCTGCAGCTGAGCATTACTAATTTTCTTTCTCATTTTCATTATTTGTATGATAGCTTCCTAAAAGAAAAAATAAAAATGAAAGCATATTAATATACTAAATTATGTTAAGTAAAACAAAATGAAAAGTGACAGATTTTTCATCCTTGACCCAACATTTAAACAAAATAGCAATCAGTAGGGATTAATACCAACATTAAGTAAAGTTTTTTAGCTAACAAGCGAGAGCATTTTTTTTCACTCCTCATAGTAGAAAATCTGCTTCTTACTGAGATTTTTCAAAGAAAAAGCAAATTACCCATAATCTTCCTGCAGAAAGAAAAGCACATCTAATATTTTAATATACCTGATTCTGTACCATGCACATATAAAATTTATCTTGCCTGTTACTACAATATGTGTATAACCAGGTATTATACTTATCACCAATTAAAAGACAACCATACACAACAAACATTTTTCTCCTCACATACAGAGTTATTTCTCTATGTATTAGTAACAGGCTGTTGAAGTCTGTTTCAAAAATCAGGAAGTAGTATTCTTTTATAGTATTTAACAGATAAATCAATGATATTTGCTATAAATATCATCTTCAGTTTGTACTGACTCAATTACATAGTTAAAATTTTCTAAAGGAATAGACAGCTTTCATCTAAGTCTGTCTTTTTTTTTTTTTTTTTTTTTTTTGGACAGGCAGAGTGGACAGTGAGAGAGAGAGACAGAGAGAAAGGTCTTTCTTTGCCGTTGGTTCACCCTCCAATGGCCGCCATGGCTGGCGCGCTGCAGCCGACGCATCGCGTTGATCCAAAGCCAGGAGCCAGGTGCTTCTCCTGGTCTCCCATGGGGTGCAGGGCCCAAGCACTTGGGCCATCCTCCACTGCACTCCCTGGCCACAGCAGAGAGCTGGCCTGGAAGAGGGGCAACTGGGACAGAATCAGGCGCCCCGACCGGGACTAGAACCTGGTGTGCCAGCGCCGCTAGGTGGAGGATCAGCCTAGTGAGCCGCAGCGCCGGCTCTAAGTCTGTTTTAGTAATATTTTCTTTGATTCTTTCTTTAACTACTATTAAGCTTACAACAGGGGTTATTTGAAAATTACTAAATATTTTTTCTTTTTCACATTTCCCAGTATAAGTCCTCTCCTTAAGCAAACAAAAGGATCTACCACATTGGTAGAAATTACAATTTATTATAAAAGGAATGTGAAAAAAGGAAAAGAAACAATATTTGTTTTTCAGTATTTGAAATGTAATTTTGCTGCAACTGGGACTTAGGCACTATTCTGAAAGAGAAAAACTCCTGCAACTGCTGATTGTGTACATTTGACAGCTCCTTTACTGACATTATGGGGTCAAGTGAATTCTTCTCACTCTCACTATATCAGGCTCCTGAACATAAAACTGGAAGCAGGGGGTTATGTCAGTTAAACAAGGAGAAAAAAACAAACTGGCAACGTCTGTCACTTCAGGAACTTGAAGAATAGCTTTGGTAGAGGTGAAGACACTGACTGTGGCAGAAGCTAAGAGAAAACCGGAGTGCACAGACTCTTGTCCTAGTCCCCATTTGATATGCTGGGGGTCACCTAAAGAATAATGTGCACTCCTGAGTCTCATTCAGTTCCCAGAGACAAACACAGAGTGTAGAGCTAATGAAGCCAGCTGTACAGGGTCTCTACCAGCAGAGCAGGATGATCCTCCAGTAGCAGATAAGGAAAATGTGCCATGTAGGCCAAGGGGGCACACAGTACATGTGTCAGTCTCAGGGGGCTCAATAATTCAGTGAAAGCAGGAAAGAGGTGAAAGAGGTGAAAGAGGTGAAAGAGGTGAAAGGAAGGAAGGAAGGAATGAACCCAGGGAGGGAGGAAGGGAGGGAGGGAGGGAGGGAGGGAGGGAGGGAGGGAATAAACCCTATGTTCATCTGCTATACACATCAGCAATAGCTACCAAAGAAAGCCAAACTCCCAAAGGTGACAGTCAAATACACCATGGCTGCCAAGACTGAGAACCCAAGACATGGTCAAAACTGTATAGATACGACAGTCCTTTTACTGTCATTAGAAGGTCAAGTGAATTCCTCACAGTATAATCAGATGCCTTCTTATAAACATGGTAAGAAACAGGGATAGAGCACAATCAGGAAGAAATAAGAAAGTGATTATTATCTACAGAGACATTTTAGATTACCAGACTGGGCATAATTACAGATTAAGACAAAACAAAAGAAACTCATTTTCTCTGCACATTCTATATGACTATACCTGCCATGCTATTATCCATTTTATCTCTTTAATCTATCTGGAATTTATCCTGGTATACCTGTAAACTAGGAATATATCCTGATTTTTCCCCCAAACAGTAAAACCTCCTAATATCTCTACTGAATAATCCATTCCCTGTCCATGGTTTACAGAAATTATTTCCTTCACAGCCCGAGTTTGTCTACATCCAAATAAGGAGGTTTCACTCCGGTTATCTTCTTCTATTAATGTTCTTGCCAAGGCATTTTTCATTTTTGTAGATATTATAATACATTTTAATATTTGGCAGGGCAAGTTCTACCACCACCACCACCTTATTCTGATTTTTGAAGTTATTCAATCACCCCTATCAATTTATTGCGCTAAAACACAAGAATTTATAAAATTCTAAAAATATTCTTAGCGTTTTATATGATATTCAATGATTTTGGCATTAGTATGGGAAAAATCACCTCGAGTTATTTAAATCATCAAAGAATGGAGACTCTAATAATGAGCAAAAGAAGCTAGACACAAGAGGACATACTATCTGATTCCATTTATATGAAGACGTAGATTATGCAGAATTAAGCAATGGTGACAAGAATCAGCTAGGGTAGAAGGGAAGGCTGGCTGGATAGGAGAGATGAGGAAGTTAATAGTGTGACAACATATCCTGGCCTTCGGCTTTTTATTTTTATTTAAAAAAATATTTATTTGAAAAGCAGAGAGAGAGCAAGAGAGAGATCTCTCATCCACTGGTTCACTACTCAAATGCCCACAACAGCTAGGGCTGGGCCATGCCAGAACCAGGAGCCAGGAACTCAATCTTGATCTCCCACTTGGGTGGTGGAAAACCAATCACTTGAAGCATCATCTGCTGCTTCCCAAGGTGTACATTAGCTGGAACCGGGAATTGGGAATGGAACCGGGACTGGATCCCAGGCATTCTACGTGGGATGTAGGTGACCCAAGCAGGGGCTTAACCACTTCACCAAACATCCCACCCCTTTTTAAATTTGAGAGATAGAGACTCAGGAAGAGACAGACAGAGAGCGAGTGAGAGGTCCCATCCACTAGTTCACTCTCCAAATACCCATAATGGCTGAGGCAGAAGCCCAACAACTTGAGCCATAATGACTATATCCCAGGGTCTGCATTAGCAGGAAACCGGCGTCAGGAGCCAAACACAGGCACTGAATGCAGGCAAGCCAATACAACCCACGAGCACCTTATCTGCTAGGCCTATGGCTCATGTTCTGTGATGGCTACACAAGTACATAGAATTATTACAACTCTCCTTCTGAATTTCTCAGTGAAGGACTACTCTGATAAAGGTCCTATACATTACTTTCTTTAAAGGAAGCATATAAATTTTATGGTTTCTCATTTTATTTTATCCCTATTTACTGCTATACAGAAAAGCAACTGGTTTTTAAGTATATTTTCTCTTCCCCCTTTTCACGTATATGATCTATAAGTAATTAAAATTTTAACTCTTTTCCTATATTTCATAATTATTGCACTGGTCAGAAATTTTAAATAATATTAAGTAAAAATAGTAACAACGGAACAATTTGATTTTAAAGAGATTATTTCTAAAGTTAGTAGGGTGTAGCGGTTAAGGCCGCTGCCTACAGTGCCAGTTTGAGTTCCAGCTGCTTTACTTCCAATCCAGCTCTCTGCTGTGGCCTAGGAAAGCAGTACAAGATGGTCCAAGTCCTTTGGCCTCTGTAACCACATAGGAGACCCAAAAGAAGATCCTGGCTCCTAGCTTCAGATCGGCACAGCTCCGGCTGTTGCGGCCATCTGGGGAGTGAACCAGCGAATGGAAGACCTCCTTTCTCTCTCTCTGCCTCTGCCTCTCTATAACTCTCCCTTTCAAATAAAACAATAAATAAATCTTTAAAAAAATAAAGTTAATCGAATCATATATTGGTTTGTAATAGATATTCCTTTTCATGTTCATGTTAAGTATCGTGATACTTAAATGAAATACAATTTTAAATATTTCAATCCTAAAAATGTAATTTGTTGCACAGATAAACTTATTCAGGTAAGATTAAAAGGCTTAATCCAAAATTAAGTTTGTACCAACTGAACAGAATCTGCCAGTGGCCACCAAGCCATACAAACTCTTTCAGCAGTAAAGAGAATTCTATCAATATAATTTTTTGATTCCAGAAAAATTAAAAATTTATTCTCTTCAACAAGGTCTGAAAACTTCCAGGCTTTTAAATTATAAAAAGGTTTGAAGATCTTAAAAAGAAATACTGTACATATATACATATATGTATATATATATGTAAATATATACAAAGTTTCTCAGAATTTAGGCATTTTGTCTTAATATTACAAACCTGGGTTCTTAATATTCTTAGTTGAACTATTCCTTCATTTTCTTCTTCTCTCATCCTTTCTGTAGTGAGCTGCAAGCGTCCAATCAAGTTGATTTTACCCCTTTTCTGAACTTTTGCATTTTTTCTATAAAAAAAAGGAATCAAGTATTTTATACTGCAAGGACTTTAAACATCACATTATAACAACAATCAATGTCTGACAAAAGATTTATAGAATATTCTAAAAATATACGGAACTATCTATAGGAAAAGTAAAACAACCAATATACAGCTTTATTCAAAATAAACTGATTTTCCTCAAAAACATGATATGGTATCTATTAAAAATGACTATACTCCCTGCAATAATAAAGTAACTATGAAGTATGTCATGAAAATAATTAGATAATTGAAGATACACAGGTTGTGATTCAGCATTAGCTTCTAATGGATTTTTTCATTACATCTTCATATAAGGGAGAGAGAGAGAAAGAGAGAGGGAGGGAGGGAGACAGAGAGAGAGAGAGAGGAGAGAGGGAGAGAGGCAGGGAGAGAGGGGAGAGGGGAGAGGGGGAGGCCAGGGGTGGGCCAGGCCAAAGCCAGGAGCCAATAACTCCATCCTGGGCTCCCACATGCGTAGAAGGAGCTCAGGTACTTGGGTCATCTGATATGGGATGCTGACATTGCAGGCAGAGGCTTAACCTGCTGTTCCACGAAGACTGCTAATTAATTATTTTCACTTTATTTGAAAGGCAGAGAGAAATTATCTTCCATATGCTGGCACACTCCCCACAATAGCCAGGGACGGTCAGACCAAAGCCAGGAGACTGCAGTTTAATCTGGGTCTCCCACATGGGCGGCAAGGACCCCATTGCTTGAGTCATCATCTGCTGCCTCCATCGGTGGTTACTAGCAGGAAGCCAGAGAGGAAGCAGAGCAAGGACTGAAACTAGGCATTCTGATATGGGGCATGGTTGTCCTAAGCAGTTTCAACAACTGTGCCAAATGCTCACCCCAAATATTTTTTAATAACTAAATTACATAAATTTAGAGTAATGACAGTATACAGTATGTTTAAAATATCATATAAAGAAAAATAATTTACTAAAAACAAAGCATCATAATTTAAATTTTTTTTATTTTAGATCATCCAACATAAGCCTTACATTAAACTGAACTCCTGGTTCACTGAGAAGAGGGTACCTTCTGTAAAGTCTTTGGGTGAGTTGACTTGAGGTTCATACAGTAACACTTGTCGTTTGAGCTTTGGGAAAGCTACTAAAGACTGTAAAGAAGAAAGAGAAAATAATTAGCATCTATAAACCATATGAAATACTGAAATCAATTTTACAACAAAATCAACACAAGTGAGAAGGCATTATGAATACAAATTCAGAATTTAAACTTTTATTCGGCACTCCACAAAGATAACAGTGTAAATGACAACTAGGAAAGACAGAAGGTGGACAAGAGTTGGCTGTGAGGAAGCAATAACTGCTGTCTTTACAGAAAGACAAGAAATTAGGATCGGTCGTACGTACCATAGCGAACACCACGTGCTAGTTATAAACCAGTTGTTTTCTCCATATTTAGTAACTTATTTTGAAACTTAATGTCTATAGAACTGGCATAAAATGTAGTTATGAACAAGTGACTAACAGGTACATTCTATAATTCCACAAAAGCATCAAAGCTTTTTTTTTTTTTTTGACAGGCAGAGTGGACAGTGAGAGAGAGACAGAGAGAAAGGTCTTCCTTTTGCCGTTGGTTCACCCTCCAATGGCCGCCGCGGCCGGCGCGCTGCGGCCGGCGCACCGCGCTGATCCGATGGCAGGAGCCAGGAGCCAGGTGCTTTTCCTGGTCTCCCATGGGGTGCAGGGCCCAAGCACCTGGGCCATCCTCCACTGCACTCCCTGGCCACAGCAGAGAGCTGGCCTGGAAGAGGGACAACCGGGACAGAATCCAGCGCCCCAACCGGGACTAGAACCTGGTGTGCCGGCGCCGCTAGGCGGAGGATTAGCCTAGTGAGCCGCGGCGCCGGCCTCAAAGCATTTTTAAATGTTAGATTGTCATCATAAAATTTTGCACCACTCTCTCAGAATTAAGTACATGTCTTTTTTCACAGCTAACATTTAAATGCTAACTCAGTCTTTCTCTTCTGTCATTTTTTTTTGTTGGGGAAGGGAGTCTTTCTTTGGGTTGGTAACTGGCCTATTTTCAACTTCTTTTTACTATAAATACCTCACTAGTTTCTTTTGCTTGGTTAAAAGTCACTTTTAGAGTATCATGAATTAATGTTATTATAAGCTAAATACACTTCCGCTGCTATGTAAGAGGATACAATTTTAAAAACAAAAAATATAAAGAAACCAACCCATAAAGTCCTTCTAAGCTCAGCATCAGGGAGTTCAGTTGCAAGTTTGAGATTTTCAAAGCTGATTTTCTCTCTGGGTCTTTGGTTCCATGCAAATAATACAGCCAGCTGAAACGTGGTCACCTCCAAATCATATTGACCTACTTCATTCTTAAATGTTATCTAAAACAGATAAAATAATTTTTAATAAATCAGAATTTCTTTCTATTATCATTATCTAATACCTGTTCCATGAAATTACTTACGAAAAAGACTGTTGTTTTCTAAAACCCACCCTTCTATTTTCCCAGTAGCAAAAGGGGCCATGTGACTGAATTCTGTTCAATGTGATACAAGAGAAAAAGGATGGAAGAGACTTCTGGAAGTTACCCATAGGAAGACAGATATAGTGAGGATATCTGATTCTGTAGGCAATACCTTAAACATAATAACCAAAAGCCCATGTCCCTAACAGCTTCACAGAACAGATCCTTATTCCTATTCAAACTTTTTTCATATGAGCAAGTCAAAAATCTATTTTGTTTAACTCTTATTTGCAGTCCTGCTACTTGCACTCAAACTAGTAGCTTAATATACTATCTACTTACAATTCCATTTGACATGAGATGATGCCAATGCAATTTTCTACCACTATGATTTTTTTTGTAGAATTCTTCTACTTCAGGTATCAAATCTTCCAGTTCAGTAGGAAGTGAGACAAACACCTTCTCAGAGCTTCTTGACCAGGCACCAGCATTCAAAATTTTTATATTAACTGAATCAGCTATAGGCAAGAATATCAGAAAATACAAAATAAAAGCAAACAATCTTGACAATGGCTAAACTTGAACATAAAACAGGGTAAGCTTTCGTGAAAAATAAACAGAACTAAAGATTCCATTGAAAGTGTCCTTTGTTTCAAAATAAGCATCTATAAATATAATATTCTACTTTGACAGTGGTCTCCAAGGAACACAGACTTTATAACATCTTTGAATTTATTACTGCTAACATTTATTGTCAATTTACTAGAAAACAAAGATATTCTTTGTTAATAATGTTTTAAAATAAATATAATATGTAATTACAAAATAATACCTGGTAAAGCCAGTTTATTATTTTTGTGCATTTCTTTAAAAGCTTGATTCAAATCTTCAGATACTTTTATGTCTTGAAACATTCTAGCAAGTTTGTTTACATAATCTGCTGGCATACCAACTTCCTACAAAAACCGAAAACAGAACAGATAATAAGTATATTATAAATAAATATTTATGTATATATATATTCATGCACACACATACATTCATATATTGCTAGGCAAAGTTTTGAAACCAAGTCTTAGGTACTTTAAGTTTTTTCATCTTTTCTTTATTTATTAGCATGTGTAATTCCAAGTAAAGTTTAGTTTTAGTGTAGCAGTGTAACATCTACTAAATTTGATTCTTTGAAACTAAATATGATAGCAGGCAATCCTGCTTTTGAATAATTCCAGTATGAATTTTAATTACCACAATACATTAAATAACACCAGTACTTCAACAACACAGTTTAAGTTTTAGTTGTCACTATATAATAAATGTGATTATTTAAATTTAGCTCAAATTCCATTTCTAGCTTCTTAATCCACAAACTGTACAAAAACAGAAGCACAGTAAGATCAGTGACCAATCATAATACTTTATTAAAAATCTACTAATCATGTTTATTCAGCTCACTACAGACAGCAAATTGTAGTTTTGTTGCATCCCTGTCTTCCAGTGATAAATCCACATGACATTTACAAAAATGGATAATCAAAAGAGGTAACCAACAAAGTTGGCAAGAGTATACCAAAATGAATGGAAAGTGACAACGCTGAACATGAGAACAAAATAGAAAAATAAAGAGAGTTACAGAAGAAAACTAACTGTGGTCATCATTTTGCTACTGCCAACATTGAGTACTCTAGAGATATGTGGGCATAGGAACTTTGTGAAGGCAAATCATCAACATAAATGAAAAAAATGCAAAGTGAAAAAAACAGTAAGATATCTCAGAGGAAATAACACTGCCAGAAAATTAACAATAAAGGAACTCTAAATATTTCATACACTGAAATCCTGGGGCAGGGGGGAAGAGGTGGCCTGACAACTCTTCAAAGCATAAAAAAGATTATCGCTCTTTCCTTTTCTTTTTTAATGTGTTTTTTCTTTATCTTCTCAAACAAGATTTATTTATTTATTTATTTGAAAGTTAAGGTTTCAGAGAGAGAGGGAGAGACAGAGAGAGAGAGAGATCTTACAACTTCTAGTTCACTCTCCAAATGGCCTCAACAGCCAGACCTGGGGGCCAAAGCCAGGAACCAGGAACTCCCCATCCTGGTCTCCCACAAGAATGGCAGGAGCCCAGGTACTTGGGTCACCTTCTGTTTCTTTCCTAGGTGTAACAGCAGGAAGCTAGATCAGAAGTGGAGCAGCCATGACTTGAACTAGTGCTCACAGGGGATGCTAGCATCCCAGGTGGTAGCCTAATCACTGTGCTACAATGCCGGCCCCGCACTCTTTAAGTCACATGACAAGAAGGCAACCTTCTTCACTGTATAACAGTTTGCTAAGATATATAATTCACTTAATTGTGAATTCAACCCTTTACAGTATACAATTTAGCGGATTTTAGTATATTCATAAGAGTTGTGCAACCATCACTATTATCTAATTGCATAAAATTTTCATCACCCTATAAAGAAACTCCAAGTTTATTTATGATCATTCTGCAGTTCACCTACCTGTCCCAGCTCCTGGAAACCATAAATCTACTTTCTGTGTATTTCCCTGTTTTGGACATTTCATATTAGTGGATTCATAAGATACACGGTCTTCAGTGACTGGCTTCTGGCATTTAAGCATTATAACTGTTTTAAATTTATCCATACTATAGCATGTAATAGTACTTCATTCATATTTTTATTGCCAAATAATATTCCATTGGAGGAATAAGCCATTTTGTTTATTCATTAATTCACTGTTATTTTGCGTTGTTTTCACAATTTGGCTATAGTAAACAATGCTGCCATGAATACTGGTATACAAATCTTGGCATGGAGAAATGTTTTCATTTCTCGAGTGGAATGGATCAACTCTCCACTTAACCTTCCAAGGAAATGTCAGTTTTCCAAAGTGGCTACACCATCTCATATCTTCACTTAGCAACTCATGAGAATTACAATTTCTCCTCTTCCTAAAAACATTTCTTATTGACTTAAAAATTTTTTTTAATTGAAAGAGGGGGAGATAAAGTAAGAGAGAGAGAGAGAGAGAGTGTATGTGAGTGAGAGAGAGCGAGAGAGAGAGAGAGAGAGCGCGCGCGAGCGCACGCGCTTTCATCAGTGGGTTCACTTTCTGAAATGCCCAAAATGGCTCAAGGTTGAATCCAGAAGCTGGGAACTCAATCCTAATCTCTTATGTAGTTGGCGGAGCTCAACTAGTTGGAACATCACTGTTGTCTCCCAGAGTGCATTAGCAGGGAGCTGGAATCAGGAACCAGAGCCTGAAATAGTACCCAGGCACTACGATATGGGACCCAGGTGTCTTAGGTGGCATCTTTTCAGCCTGACTGCTAGGCCAAATGCTAACCCCGGTATATTTTAGCTATCTTAGTGTAAAGTAAAGTGGTATCTCCTTGTGGTTTAGATGTGTATTTCGCTAAGGAATAAGCACACTATGTAGGTGTTTACTGACCATTTATTTACCTTCTGTGAAGAACGGTCTATTTGAATTCTTTGTCTATTTTTGACTGAGTCATTTTATTGTTGTGTTGTAACAGTTCTTTGGTTATTCTAGATACAACATCTGACTTAAGAATTACAAATATTCCCTTACTTTTAAAAGAAGATTTATTTAATTAATTTGAAATGCAGAATGACAGGGAGAAAATGAGAGACAGTGAAACAGAGAGTGTGAGTGATCTTCCATCCACTGGTTCACTCCCCAAATAGTCTCATGAGCCTAGGCCACACTAGGTGGAAGCCAGGAGTCAGGAACTCCATATGGGTTTCCCACATGGGTGTCAGGGACCCAAGTACGTGGGTGCCTTCCCAGAAGCATTAACTGGGAGCTGGATCAGAAGTGGACTGGGACTTTCCCATGTGAGATGCCAGTGTTTTAAGTAGTGGCTTAATCCACTGTGCCACAATGCCAATCTCTATATCCCTAGTCTTGATCTATTTTTTTACTAAGAAATTAAACACTTAAATTCTCTAAGTTTTTTGCTTTTAAACTAGAGTATATTAAATTTATTCTTTTCACTATTTCCTTTTCTTATATATTTATAACATAAGACTTTTGAATATTTAGAGAAGAATTTTTAAATGTCACAAAGCAATCAGTTTTCCCGTTGGGCACAATTTATTTGGCATAATAATCTCTACCATCTCACACTGCCATGCAAGGCAAGTTTATGTGCAATTAAAAAAAAAAGTGTGTGTGCATGTGGAGAGAGAAGAGAGCAAAAGTGGGAAAGGGAATTCATTTTAATAAAACTCAAATTCTATGAAAATGCACAGAAAGGAACAGACTCAAAACATTTTATATGGTAATTTAGTTACAATCAGCATCAATTATCACAATAAGGCATCATTAGAGGTTCTTTTGGCTACATACATTTATTTGTATTTTTACAAGCATCTCCAGTTTAGTTCTAAATAGACCTTACAAAGGAAGTGATTTGTCCTACAACCTTTAAAGTCATTTGAAACCAAGTCAGTAGAAACAAAGCAAGAGCAAAGATGCTTTACTGAAAGTCTTTATTAAGAAAATTCACTTTATTAAATATCCTTTTATTTTATATAATTGATGCTATGTTATAAAATGTTCTCTATTTCTTTGATGTTAATGTTATCACCAAAATGTATGACCAAAGCACAAGTATGAATCACATGCTATATTAGAAAACCAATATTTTTTTAAAAAGTTACTTACTCTTAGCCATTCTACCATATTTTCTTCAATTTCACTATCAGCAGAGATGTCTAATATAAGACGTCGTGTCAAATGAGCTTTGTGATACCTCATAAAAACGTCTTTGTTTTGTACATATTTAAGTACCAAGAGCTGTATGGAAAACAAAGTTACTTTCAATTCTTCTATATTTTTAGGATCTCTCTCACTTAGACCTTTCTATGTCCAACTGCCAAAATCAGAAATTTATTTGAGCATATATGCACAGAGGTCTACTATATTACCCATCTCTGAAAATAACCAGTACTGGTAACATTACTTCACTATTTAAAAGTAAGCAAATTTAAGACCTTACCCAAATAAGCTTTTAGTCACTATAATAACAAATTATTTAGATTTGATATAAATGTGGCAATACTTTACATGAAAATCAACAGTTCTTTTCCAATTTTCTCTCACATATTTTCTTTACTTTTTCCTGACAATAATCATCTTTCTGATGTTTTTGTCTACTATTTCTTTCCTCTTCGTATTCTCAGGCTTATAACATTTCAATAACAACTGGGATTCAAAAATATAAGCAAGTTACTCTTTACCTACTTTCATTTGTCCCTAGCTTGTCTATCATTAAAGAAAGAGTGAAGAACCAACAATATTTGAACTATTCCACATATCAGCTCCACCCCCACCCCTTCTTGTCCTTTAACAGGAGCTAGAATTTAATTGCCTAAAAAGAATCAAAAATAGAGAAGAATTAAATGGTATTTCCCTTTCAGGCAGCTGTAATATAAAAATTTTTAAATAAAAAAAACTGCCTTGTAGAGGTCATGTACCATAACACTTTTCAACAGTGGCTTACAGATATATATTTTTGTTGATTCTATCACAGAAAGTTTCAAAAGCAAAATGCAAATTCAAAAAAAGGAAATTTAAAATTTTAAAATACAAAATATCTATATACCACTTCTTTAAGCTTTGCTTCAATCTCTTCAGAAGTTAGTTTTTTGCTTAATGGTGTTTTTCTTAGCAACATGTCACAGTAATTGGCAAGCAGCTCAGGGCATTTTGATTCAGGCTGAGTTTTTAATCCCACCCTAAAAAACAAATTAGAAACAATTGATGAAGAATGACTGGTATTTCCAAGTTTTTTTTCTAAAGCCAATTTTCCACAAACTATTTTTTTCTAAAGATGTACTTATTTATTTAAAAGGCAGAGAGAGAAAGAGGACAGAGAAGAGATGGGGGCAGGGTAGGGAGGAAGAGAGAGAGAGAGAGAGAGTCTTCCATCTGATGATTCACTCCCCAAATGGCTGCAATGGCTGGAGCTGAGCCAATTCAAAGCCAGAAGCCAGCTACCCAAGTAGGCAGCAGGAGCCCAAGTACTTGGGCCATACTCCACTGCTTTCCCAGGGACATCAACAGTAAGCCAAATAGAAAGCAGAGCAGCCAGGACTCACACAGGCACTACAATATGGGATGCCAGTGTTATAAGTGGCAGGTTAGCTTACTGTGCCACATGCTGGCCTCATGAACTAGTTTCTAAGGATGAATAATCTGGTGTTCCAGCCCAATGTCTAGAGTTCAAAATTTAAGGAAGTATTCACTCTAGATTCCCAAAGTGCCAACAGTTCACTTGCAAGGACCCTGAGAGGGAGAAACTCCTTAAATTTTGTACATCAGATGTTTCCTTGCCTCATCTTAGTGCCAGCACTGCCAATGATCTTTTTATTTTTAAAGCAGTAAGCATGCCAGCCAAGTTTAATGAAAACAGTATACCTGATAGACCACGCAGGAAAAGAGGACTCAGGAAAGAACTAAAAGCCTCTTTAAAAATTTTATTCCAACACCTGCTAACATATTTTTAAAAACTGTGGATCTTTGGATATTTTGTATGTTAACATTTGAAACTTTTTATTAGGGATAGCTATTGTGGTGCAGCTTGTGACACCAGCACCACATATCAGAGTGCTTGGGTTCAAGTTCTATATGCTCCACTTTCAATCCAGCTTTGCTGCTAATGCACACTAGCAGGCAGCATATGATGGCTCAAGTGCTTGGGTCCCTGCTCTCTACCTGTAGGATCCCGATGAACTTCTGGGGGGGTTACAATTCTTACTTCACTCTCTGTATGTATCCAATTTAACTTTCACTCCATAGTGATGTGGTGTCTACAATTATCTACTTTAAACAAATTCTTAATTAAGAATTTGGATCTCTACTTCACTTCCCTGACGAAATTTAAAAATCAAAGTACATTGTATTTTCATGCTTGAAAGTCTTGGTAATTCTCTAGATAACTTATGTAAATCAAATTAAATGTAACATTTAAAAATTTCATGTGCCTTTAAAATTTGAATTATCTTCCAAAGACTGAGAGGTATCCAAATATAAGTATACAAATTATCAACACAATGTAATTATGCTGCGTGCACATACTCATATATAAAACATGCACATATGTAAAATTTTACTGGATGAATTTTCTCAATGTGGTGGATGAAAATCCTACTTTCCATTATTCCAATTATGAATACCAGAATTAGCATCAGTTCTTTCAATACTTTTTTTTCTTTTTAAGATTTATTTATTTATTTGAAAGTTAGAGTTACAAAGAGGCAGAGGCAGAGAGACAGAGAGAGGCAGTGGCTTTCCCTGGAATGCCACAGCGCCAGCCCCCTTTCACTACTTTTTAAAAAATATATATTTATGTCTTTGCCCTGAGAAATCTTAGATAAGTAAGTGGGTGGGACTACCTTTTGATGTCACTAAATTCTTTGAGCATTTCCTGAATCATTTTGCTGAAAAACAAAACCATACTCATCTAATGTTAAAAATTATTTTAACAATGAATATTTTAAATTATTTTTAAAAGTTAATTTTCATCTTATTTGGAAGGCAGAGAGAGACAAGACAGATGGAAAGAGACAGAAATCTTCCATCTGCCAGCTCATTCCCCAAACTGCCAAAAGCCTGCGCTGGACCATGGTGAAGCCAGGGGCCTGGAACTCTACCTAGGTTTCCCATATGGGTGGCAGGGCCTCATTATCTGCCACCTCTGAGGTTGCATTAACAGCAAGCTGAAAATCAGGAGCAGAGCCAAGACTTGAACCCACATCTTCCAACATAGCATGTGGGTATCCCAATCAATGTCTTAACTGCGAGGCCAAATATCTGCACCAGTTCATTCAAAGTGTACAATTCAATGTTTTTAAAGTTATATAATCATCCCATAATCAAATTTTAGAACATTTTAATTTCTCCCAAAGTAAAAATTGAAACCTCATTCTCCAACTAATCCCCCCTTCCAGCCCCTAGCAAAAACCAGTGTCTTTTTGTCTGTGAATTTACTGGTTCTGGACATCTCATAAATGTTTACCTCATAATATGTAGTTTTGTGTGACTTACTCCTTTTACTTAGCATAATTCATCCACATCATAGCATGTATATCAGTAATTCTTTTTCAAAATACATCTTTATTTTGGTAAAAAAATTATCTTGACCATTTTTAAGTATAAGCTTATTTGCATTAATTTCATTTACAATGTTGTACAGATATCACTGTTTTATTTCCAGAATGCTGTCATTATCTCAAGAGAAATGTTATATCCATTAAGCAATAATGTCCCATCTCCCTTACCCTCAGGTTCCTGGTAACTTTTTAAAAAAGTTCTTTCCTTCCAGGAATTCATTCTTTCTCTCTCTCTTTCTACCTACCTACTACCTACCTCTTTCAAAAGGCAGAGTGCCAGAAAGGGCAAGACAAAGAGCGAGATCTTTGATCAGATGGTTCATTCCACAAATGTCCTCAACAACCTGGAGTAGGCCAAACTGAAGCCATGAGTCCTGAACACTAATTGAGTCTCCCTCCCATGTGGATGGCAGGAACCCAAGAACTTGGGCCATCATTTGCTGCTTCCCACTAGCAGGATGCTGAACTGGAAGTAGGGCAGCCAGGACTCAAAGTGGCAATCCAAAATAGGATGTGGGCATTACCAACAAGTGACTTTGGCTGTTATCACAATGCTCACCCTGGCCGGTAACATTTATTCTACTTTGGTCTCAATAGATTTGACTATTCTAGATATCTCAAACAAGTGTATTCATACAAAACATGTCCTTTTATTCATACAAAACATGTCCTTATCTGACTCAGCATCGTGTTTTCAAATTTCACTTATATTATATAGACATCTTCTTTTTCTTACATTAGAATTTCTTTTATGGCTGCCTAAGAGTCCACTGTATGGATACACTACTTTGTGCTTATCTATTCATGGACATTTGAGATGTTTTTACTTTGGGGCCACTAAGAATAATGCTTCTCGGGGGCCGGCGCTGAAGTGTAGCAGGTAAAGCTGCCACTGGCAGTGCCAGCATCCTATATGGGCGCTGATTCGAGTCCCGGCTGCTCCTCTTCCAACCCAGCTCTTGGCTATGCTCGGCTATGGTCTGGGAAAGCAGTAAAAGATGACCCAAGTCCTTGGGCCCCTGCAATCATGTGGGAGACCTTGGGGAAGCTCCTGGCTCCTGATCGGCCCAGCAGTGGATGGAGGACCTCTCTCTCTCTGCCTTTCAAATAAATAATCTTAAAAAAAAAAAAAATGCTGTAACAGACATGGTGGCTGCTTTTTTTTTTTTTTTTTGAAAAGAGTAGTGCTTGTCTGCTATGAACACTTTTATAAAAATTTTTGAATGATTGCATATTTTCATTTCTTTTGTATACATGCCTAAGATTAGAACTATTGGGGCACATGGCAACTCGATTTAACTTCTAGAGAAACAAGCTGCTTACAAAGCAGCTACACCACCAATTTTCCTACATTCTTACCAACACTTGTTATATCTGCCCCGGCGCCATGGCTCACTTGGTTAATCCTCCGCCTGCGGTGCCAGCATCCCATATGGGCTCCGGGTTCTAGTCCCGGTTGCTCCTCTTCCAGTCCAGCTCTCTGCCGTGGCCCCGGAGTGCAGTGGAGGATGGCCCAAGTACTTGGGCCCCTGCACCCACATGGGAGACCAGGAAGAAGCTCCTGGCTCCTGGCTTCGGAACGGCGTAGCTCCGGCCGTTGCAACCATCTGGAAGTGAACCAATGGAAGGAAGACCTTTCTCAATGTCTCTCTCTCTCACTGTCTATAACTCTACCTGACAAATAAAAAAAAAAATACTTATTTTAAAGGCATAGTTACAGAGAGAGGGAGACACGGAGATCTTCCGTCTGTTGGTTCACTTCCCAAATGGCTGTGACAGCCAGGGCTGGGCAAGGCCTAAGCCAGGAGCCTGGAACTCCATCTGGGTCTCCTGCCACCCATGTAGGCACTCGGAACACCTTCCACTGCTTTCCCAGGTGCACTATCAGGAAGTTGGATTCGAAGCAGAGCAGGTGCGACATGAACTGGCACCCATACAGGATGCCAGTATCACAGACGGTCGCTTAACCCACTATACTTGCAACACAGGACCCCTGCCTTTTTTACTTTAACCAACCCAGCAAGTGTGAAGCAGTATCTCATTGTGGTTAAGCCATTAATCTTTTTTTTTAAAAAAAGATTTATTTAATTGAAAGGCATAGCCTCAGAGAGACAGACAGATCTTGCTTCTGCTGGTTCACTCCCCAAATGGCTGCAATGGCTGGGGCTGGGTCAGGCTGAAGCCAAGAGCCAGGATCTCCTTCTGGGTCTCTCATGTGGGTGCAGGGGCGCAAGCACTTGGGCCATCTTCCATTGCTTTCCCAGACGAATAACCAGGGAGTTGGATCAGAAATGTAGCAGCCGGGTCTAGAACTGGCATCCATATGGGATGCCGGCACTGCAGGTAGCAGCTTTACTCACTATGCCACAGCGCCAGCCTCATGCCATTAATTAATTAATTAATTTATTTGACAGGCAGAGTTAGACAGTGAGAGAGTGAGAGAGAGAGAGAGACAGACAGACAGAGAAAGGTCTTCCTTTTCCGTTGGTTCATTCCCCCAGTGGCCGTTACGGCTGGCGCGTTGCGCCGACCCGAAGCCAGGAGCCAGGTGCTTCCTCCTGGTCTCCTATGCGGGTGCAGGGCCCAAGGACCTGGGCCATCCTCCACTGCCTTTCTGGGCCACA